TACACATATATTCTTTACTCTGTTCAAAATACAGCAAGGAGAAACATGAGTTTAGTATGTCACTGATCTTGGGTGCCATCCCTTGCAATGCAGCACAACACACCCATGTTTATTGCCAACGCTGGAACTGGTGCAGGCTAAACTCTGGAGAAGATGTAGGTACACGCTAACCACCTTATCAGATTGAGAATCCTAACAGCTAACTAACAGCGCTCTCTCGTCTCTCCTTTTACTGTCTTCACTCAGAAAAAAGCCCAGTCTGACCTTAATCCAAAACTACTAATTGCTGTTATAGAAAACGAAACTTCTCCTCACCCTTCCTCACCTTCCCCTGAGACTTAGCTTCTTTGCAAGATGTATCTTGGCAGCTCTATTACAGCAGAGGAAGACCCAAAGCAGCTCTCTCATCTTCCCTCTGTTGTCCAAATGGTAAATGAAACCTATATCCATGTTTATGATGGAGAAAAAAGCTACTCAAAGCTGAACAGCCAGGACACACGTATCCTCCTTTCTTGTGAACAGCTGCAAAATACCTTTACACTGAGAGGACCCTTTCCAAAAAGGCATCTCAAAACACAGGCCATAAGTTGCCAACTGGCATCTCCCTTCTGTTTTCCTTCAGCAGAAACCACTTTACTCGTCCTGTCTTCCAACACAACCAATAACAATTTCCTTTCTTACTCCATTCTTACAGTATTCCCATATCACACTAATACGAGATAAGATGTTAGAGATCAACAATGCACTAAGAACAGTGAAAACACACTACCTGGGAGATGACCAAATCTGTACGCAAAAGTTACTTCATTTTTATTCTTAAAATAAACACATATTTGTACAGATGGTCCCATAATAAAGCCAACCAGAAACATCAGCTTCAGCAAGATCATTCATGACATCCAGCAGTTAGACAAACCCTGAACATGCAAGCACAGAAGGTCATCATTACAAAGAGCTTCCAAATATAGATGCTATTTAGAGACACACAACCACATATTCTTTGCATTTACTTTGTCATCAATTAACGAATTAATTCTTTCCTTTTGCACACTGCTCATATGGGATTCTGCAAGACTGCTGAAGTCTTATAGGGTGGAGTAAAGTTGTTAACAGAGGAACCTTCTTCCAGTCACTGCTGTAATTTGTTGGAGCCTCATCCAGCCTATTTCACTGCTATTTATCATTACCCTTTGTTTGCCCATCCTTCAGGCAGTTTGTGACAGTCCTGTGAGAGTCCATGCGTACAGCTAATTTCAAATAATAGTTTGCCTTACAGTGTTTATTTTGCAAAGCCCTTCCTTTTACACATTTTTTTTCAGAATTCTTAATCTGCTTTATCACTTTCTTCAAATATTTTTCTTTAGTTAGGGAGAGCATAAATAAGGACTGAGGGAAACAAGAAGGGGATTTGGGGATGCTAGAACGTAATAGCTTTCCCTACATGCTTTTTATAGAAGACTAAAAGGCTGTGAAGTTAGCCTTGTTCTCTGTACAGGAGGAAGGTGCGCATTTATTTAAACAATGATTGGTGAATTCAGTCAGCTAAACATAAGAAACATCCTAGCGCTCCCTGCGATTTCATACTATGTCCCCGAGTACAGAAGCAATCACCGGTTAGTCTTCAGTGCCACTGTTGTCTTTTTGCGCATTTATCCTTATAGTATTTGCAAAAGAGAAAGCATTTCAGGTGCACTGTTTGTAATAATACAATACTTTTGAACATTCAAATATTTATGAACAGCTGGTTGAGATGATCAGGCAAGTCCTGCTTCTCGCCTTTTATATTAGTGACCATTTGAAAGGACTCTAAAGGTTTCTTGCACAGGTGCAGAACAAATGAAAAAAGGAGAGAAACCATCTCTGAAATCTGTATGCTCCAGGAAGAATTTACGCAGATGATGGACTTGGTAGATTGGTCTGCATATATACCTGTAGACTTATAAAAGTTCCTGTTTATAAATGATAGCAAGCAACACAAGAAGTACAACAATGTTTCTAGGTAAAGTTCAAAGCCAGTACCTAAAATAAAAAAAGATGGATTTTGTTAAGAGTGGCCCCGCCCAAAAGACTATTAGATATAGAAGGAAGTACCATTTGATGCCTTATCTGCTTGATGAATGGCTAATAGATGATAGCCACAGGAATGACAACACACATTTCAGACCTGTTTTCTAAGCACAAGCCTCTGAAGTGGAGTTTTCTAAACCGCTTTCAATTGGGACAACAATGGCTTGTGTTTTCAGTATTTTCCTTGTAAGACCTCTCTGTTCAAATATGCCTTGCCCAAAAGCAGATGGGCAAGGGGAAAAGGGGTATCTGTGCCTGAACAGTACTACTGAATTCAGCTATTCCATATTGTGTTTTAATATGAGCAGTACTGAAGCGTTACTAACGCAGTCCAAATCCCAGTGTCCTGATCATAAACCCTTTGGGGTTGATATATCTCCCAAATGGATATTGTCAGATTTGAAAATATACTGTAGCGTTTGTGGATTAGATTTTTCCTGATAAAAATGAGAAATTACATATACTAACCATAAGAACAGATAAGAAAGCAGGGCCTTTTTCATTTCCTTTTTAAAGTGTGGGTTACTATTATATAAAAAAATTAATTTGAATACAAAAATAGGTTTCAGAAAAAGCAATTTATTTTAGTGTTAGAAAGTTGATTGATTAGGAATGAAAACAGGGTAGCATAAAATCCATACAATTTAGTGCTTTAAGTTTAAAGAATTTTATGGTTTTACTAAAAAAGTTAAGTACTATTGCAGTTCCATACTTTCCTCACCACTGCTATTACTACATTGATTATCACTTTAAAACTTTATTCACCAGAAGCATTTAATCGCATGCATCATAAGCATGTCACTTTCACATCTTGTGGTCTAATTATGGTTATAAGGACCAGAAAGGGGAAATAAAAAACAATCAGCCCCATGCCCCCATCTGACTGTTCAAAAACTCCTTAAAATAAGCAGACAGCCTCATCTGTACATTCAGTGTTATTTAAAAAAAAAAAAGACAGGCAATACTTGCCCTAATCAGTCAGGAAGCATCAAAGAAAGATCAAGTAACTACACTGCAAAACACTGTCATGGTTGATATCAGCTGATATCTTTCTTTATATAGAGTGCTCACTTGGGGGGGGGGGAATAAAGCATTGTATCTTTTATGGCAATAAAGGCTCACATCACTTAGAGGGCAAACTCCTCAATTTGGAACACTTTTACAGCACTTTTAAAGTTTTTCTTACTGTGCAGGTGACTCTGGTACAGGTCACCCAGAGAGGATGCGGAGTCTCCATCCTTGGAGATATTCAAAAGCCATCTGGCCACAGTCCTGGGCAGCCTGCTCTAGCTGACTCTGCTTCTGCAGGGAGGTTGGACCAGATAATCTGCAACAGCCTCTTTCAACTTCAACCATTCCGTGATAAAAAGTTTTCAGTGAGCCAATTTCCAAATTCACTCATTAAAATTGTTACATGTCCAGCTTCCCAGCACACATACCTACACTAATCCTTTACAAAAGGGCAGTCCATTACAATCTTACCTACAACATAACTGTTACGAAAATGCATGTATGAAAATTACAGCTAAAGAACTGTTTCCTTAAGTTTTTCACAATACAAATCAAAAGTGCTATTTGAAAGCAAATAAATGTAATCTTTTAGTGTTTTACATGCAAATATTGAAACTAAAGTAGTAAAAATAATACTGAAATTTCCACTTCATTATTCTTTATTACTCTAGGTTACTGTTTTTTTCAGTCCAGACTGAAAAAACAAATGCCAAGCAGCAGACTAAAAAGCCTAAGGAGAGACTGCTAAAAGCACTTAAAAGTTCAAAGACGCACAGAGAAAGTTAAAACTGTCACTCTTAGTGATAAATACGGTAGATTTAAAATATGGTTTCAAATTTAGTAATTCAATGTATGGCAAGAACATCAACATAGAGGATTGTGGGGGACAGCAGTAATTCTGTTCTGGGTTGCACATCTTACATAAGAGATTCCCCTTACACAAGGGAACTATGCAGGTCCTGGGAAGTCAGTGTAGCAGCTCTGATGTCTCCCTTTACCTCTGCCAAGTGGTCATTTCCGAGAGGCCTCTCGGCTATCATTAACACACGATACCCGAGTGCCCTCTTGAAGCCAAGGGCAGGTGGGGTTGCCAGTTAAATATTCGCAGACAAGATTACTGCATAGGCAAGGTCATGTTGCAGAGGCTCAGAGGGTATGCAAAGTCTCTGTTTCCCTTCACCTTGAGATGCTCCGAAAACAGCGTAGACTCACCTCAGCACCAGCAGCATACAATCATAAATTCAAACCCATCGGTATCCCTTTACTTCATTAAAGGGAAAAAGTATTTCTAAAATCCTGGACAGATAGCAGGCAGCTCATTCAATACCCTCTATTTTGGGAGCAGCCAGGACCAGCAGCCACGTCTACCCATCCGTTTGAACCTAGCTCAGTGCTGCTTCCAGGATTTCACAGCACGTACGAACGCACCACCCAGACGGAAACACTGAATTAGTCACGGGCGTGCTCTTCTTCCAGGCACCCGTGACGAGCAATTGGTTTTTCCACTGTGAAAGAAACTTTACACCAGCCGGCCCTCGCTAGGTCATGTCGCGCACGAAGGGACACGAAAGGAAAAAACGCTTTCCGCATTTTTGCGGCGTGACGCCCGCCCAACCTCCGCACGGCAGCCGCCTC